TACCAGGGGGGATTTACCCAAGAAAAAGGGTCTGTGGCTTAAAGCGTTGGCTCAACCAGCGGCTTGCGTTTGAATGCACAAGCAACAGGAGATGCAGCAAGGACTGAATGGAATGAAAATGAATGCAAGAGGCAGGGCGCGTACTTAGCTATGGGTGCGTCGGGTGGAGTGCACTCCATGTCCCCCGCCACTGCCGCTCCCGTATGAACGACCTGCTGGGACAGAGGGGGCAGCTGGGGAGGGAGAGAGGAAGGGAGGAGGAGGTGCGATACGGGAGAAAGGAAGGGTGATGAGTAAAGAGGAGAAGACAAGTGAGTAAAGGGAGAGCGAACGAGGACAAGAGTGAAGCGTGGATGGGTGGGCTGCTGCAGTGGCAGACCCAAGAGACCTCGTACCAGCTGAACCACAAACAAGCAAATACCTGAGGCTATACCAAAGTTTTGAACCTGATACCTTGGTGGAGGGGGGTCTCTTGAGTGTGACAGAGGGCAGTAAAGAAGGTAGTTGGGTGCATGGTGCAAGCAAGACATGAAAGTAGCACAAGTGCGAGGGCTGGGAGAGGTAGGGCGAATACTTAGCTCTGGGTGGGTTGGGTGGAGAGCAGCTGCTACCTGTGCATTCCATGTCCCCCGCCACTGCCTCTCCCGTGCAAGCGACCTGCTGGGATAAGAGGGAGAAGATCAGGACAGAGAGAGAGGAAGGGAGGAGGGGGAGGAGAGCAGGGGGAAGTGTGATTGGGGAGCAGAGGAGTGCGGAGGGAGATGAGTGAAAAGGGAAAATCGCGTGCAGTGAAATGAATGCAGCAAGTGCAAGAATGATGCGTGCATGAATGGACTGCTGCAGCGGCACACCCAAGAGACCTCGTACCGGCTGAACCAAACTATAACGAATACCTGAGGCTGTACCAAGAAAACGATACCTACTACCTTGGGGGAGGAACGTCTAATGGGTGTGACAAAGAGCAGTGAAAAAGGGAGCGTAATGCATGTGCAAGAATGGCAAGCAAAGCAACACAGTGCGTGGGTTGGGAGAAGAGAGGAAGGGCGGGGTACTTAGCTGTGGGTGGGTTGGGTGGAGAGCAGCTGCTGCCTGTGCACTCCATGTCCCCGCCACTGCCACTCCCGTGTGAGCGACCTGCTGGGACCAGAAGGGGGCAGATCGGGACAGAGCGGAAGGGAGGAGGGGGGGAGGAAAACGGGGGAGTGAAGGGGGGGCAGAGGAGTGGAGAGAGCAGTGAGGAAAGAAGCAAAGAGTGAAGTGAGAGCGAAGAGTGCAGCAAGTGCAAGAATGATGCGTGCATGAATGGACTGCTGCAGTGGCACACCCAAGAGACCTCGTACCAGCTGAACCAAACTAAAACGAATACCTGAGGCTGTACCAAGGAAAAAGATACCTGCTACCTTGGGGGAAGGAGGTCTCATGGGTGTGACGAAGAGCAGTGAAAAAGGGAGTGTAATGCATGCATGGTGCAAGCATGACATGAAAATCAACACAGTGCGAGGCTTAGGAGAAGAGAGGAAGGGCGGGGTACTTAGTTGGGGGTGGGTTGGGTGGAGAGCAGCTGCTACTAGTGCACTCCATGTCCCCCTCCACTGCCTCTCCCGTGTGAGTGACCTGCTGGGATGAGAAAGTTGCAGGTCTGGAAAGAGAGAGAATGGCCGAGGGGGAGGGGAGGAGAGGACAGGGTGTGAATGGGAAGCAGCAAAATGGAATGAGAGTGACGAGTGTAGCAAGTGCAAATGATGCGTGCATTAATAGACTGCTGCATTGGCACACCTAAGAGACCTCGTACCAGCTGAACCACACTCAATGAAAAACCTGAGGCTATACCAAAATTTTGAACCTGCTACCTTGGGGGAGGGAGGTCTCTTCAGTATGAAAATGCGCAGGAAGAAATAGAGCGTGGATGCAGGGAGCAGGCATGAAAGGCACAGCATAAGTGCAGGCACTTGGCTGTGACACTTAGCTGTGACACGACATGAAAGGCATGGACTGGAATGGGCCGTGCATGCACTTAGCTCTTGAAGGGGTGCTGCTGGGCGACGCAGCGAGCGAGAGGTGAAGCGTGGCTGCCAGGCGCGGTGAGATGAGCGCCATGTTGCTCGCCTCCGCGATTTTGCCTCCGCGGTTTCGCCTCCGCGCTAAGATTTCGCCACAGCAGTTTCGCCTCCACGCCATGATGCTTCTCCGTGGTTTCGTCTCCATGCTTCAGCGCGGTTTGATTGAATTCTGCACATTTAAACGCAAAATATAAGTTAGATAATTACTTTGATTAAGAACGTGGCGAAAAGTTGTTAACGCGATTTATGTGAAGATTCCCTTAGTAGCAACGCACCTGATGCAGAAAAAGCGTGATTCGAGGCGGACGCGATCCTCCATGTGATTCCGCTTAGCCACAACTACGCCGGTGATTCCACTTAGCCACAGCTACGCCGTCGATTCCGATTAACCACGCGATTCCGCTTAGCCACAGCTACGCCGGCGATTCCGCTTAGCCACGCGATTCCGCTTAGCCGCGTCGCGAGCTTCGAGCTTGTATGAGGTGAATAGACGTGCTCGTGGAAGTCGCAGCAGAGGGGACTTCCGAAGTTGTTGCTGCTGATGGCGATAGTCGCTACTAACTGCAAAACATCTCTGCTGGCGGACGGCCGAAACGGCTGAACGTCGAATATCCCTTCCGAGCACGAGAACCTTTGAAGTTTATGGAGAGAATGTTGCTGCTGACAGCGAGAGCTGTTGATGACGAGGAATATCGTTTCTTATCGCGATTTCCGCTGACGGCCGGCTTGACCGTTGAGAACGGTAAAACACGAAGCGGCTGGCAGAGAGATATGGCTGTCGACGAGGAACTCGCAGCTAACGGAAGAAAGTGTTGCTGCAGGCTGAGAGAACGCTTCTGTTGACCAAGAATCTCGCTGCTGACGACGAAATTCGTTTCTAGCGTCGAAACTAGTTCCCGATGGTAGCTAGCGGCTCACAGTCTGTGTTGTTGACGCATTATGGCTATCAGAATGCAGAGTTGGCTGGCGAACGACGAAAAAACAACTGTGTGCCTGGAAAAACAACTCTGAATGTGAGAGAGGAGCAAGGGAGCGGCGAAGATACGGAGAGTGGAGAAATCGGAAAATGGGTTGAACTCGCCGATAGTGCACACTCGCTGATCTCCCTGAACTCCAACCATTGCCTCGTCGCTCTGCTCTGCTCTTCCTGGGTTCACAACATCAGAATGGTCGAGAGAGGCAATAAATGTTCCAGCTCGGTTGAAAAGTGTTGGGAATGGTTGACCGTGTGTCTTGAATTTGTTCTTCCCTGTCCATCTCAGGCGAGGCCCAGGACGGCCCAGAGACATCACGGCCAATCCCGAGGTTGGGCTGGCGGTCGGTGGAAAAGGAAGCCCAGCCGACAAGGTTGGCGCATCGCGCGGCCGCAAAAGCGCGCTCAGTTCGCCAAAGTGGCGGAACGACGGTTTTCCGCGGAAGGAACGACGAACAATTTTAGCGAGTCGAATCAATTCGCGAAACTAAAAGTTTCTCGCACAAGCAGCCTACAGGGGCAATATTGTGTTCCCGAAACCCGTGAGCGACGTCACCCAAGCCAAGGCCAACGGTTGGTTCTGACAATCCCGCGAGGTGGCGGAAGTGCCCCACCAAAATCGCTGACACATTTCTGAAGGTCCGCGAACACTCGGGGTTTCGCGGAGCGCTCCCCCCGGTTCCGGATGGCAAACCAACGGATAGGCTGCGGTATGCACAGTTTTGGAGGTATTGCGGAAACCTTGCGCGAAAGGCTTCGAGAACGATGAGAATCCTTGTGATCGAACGGACCGATTTGCTTCGTGCAGAAACGAGCAGAATCCTGCTGCTTGACGCAGAACAAACCCACAGCCGCTAGTTTGTTACTGCAAATTGTAGTGCCCGATAACTAGAAGAGCTGCATACAAAAAAATGTTCACAACATGATTCATATGATACATTGCACAAATAGATTCATCCTTCCATACATATTTACCTAGCGAATGTCACAGAACATGGCGGGCTGGCGGGCTTGATTTGAACCTGAGAGATTTCTTACCGTAATACAGTCTATCATTTAGGCTACATGATTGCAAATTTTGTACACTCATTTTGTGGTACCTGTCTTTGAAAAGCTGATCCCTCATTATTTCAATTTGATTTGAAATATCAGGCATCCAAAATAGCCTGGCCCAAGAAAGAACATTTTGCCGTGCTGGTTGAAACAACAAAAAACTTCATTTTAAAATGCTGGTCAGACAAATCCAAATAGCCTGGTCTGCTGATGGTGCAACTATCGCAGCTGATAGTGCCACCATTACAGTTGATGGTGCGACCGCATGCACTCATGAAAATCCACTCGCACGGCCACACCATTCTGCACCGCAGGCACCAATGCACAGCCAGCCACTTACACAGCCACACTATGCCGCACCGCAGGCACCAATGCACAGCCACTAAGACAGCCATTCACACGCAGGCTTGAAAACCGTGAGGCACAAATGCACAGGCACACCCGCCCTGAGGTGCATCACCCAATTTCTCAAGGCTGCCATAAGCTCAGGTCCCTTTTCAACTATGCTTCACTCTCCTTCACCTGACCTCGTCAGTCAAAGGTTTCCAGCCCCTCCCCCAGCTGCAGCACCCTCAGATCCGCCCTGAGGTGCATCAGCCCGTTGCCAAGGCTGCGATAAGCTCAGCTCCCTTTTCAATGCGCCTCCACAACTGTCTCTCCCCATCCTACACTGCCTACCGTACCTCAGTCAAAGGGTGGCAGCCCCTCCCCCAGCTGCTGCAGGGAGTTTTTAAGAACTTTCAAAGAATGCCTCCTCAACTGTCTCTGCCCATCTTACAGCACCTGCATCAGTCAAACGGCGCCACCCCCTCCCCCAGCTGCAGCAACCTCAGATCCGCACTGAGGTGCATCCCCCCATGGCGAAAGTACCTCCCAATGTCCCCTCATTATCTCCCTCTCACAAGGCGCCTGCATCAGTCAAACGGTGCCAACCCCTCCCCCAGCTGCAGCACCCTCAGGTCCGCCCTCAAATGCATCACCCCGTTTCTAAAATACTTGCCATTGTCCCTCACCACCTCACTCCAGGGGTTGAGCAGGCTGCGGTAACCGCGCTCCCGAAACAGCCCTTTGAAGGTGTGCGACGCGGTCTGCTTCTGCTGCATGAACTGGCCTGAGGGGTGCTCTTTTACAAGGAAGGTGAACTCGATGGTCACACTGTCGTCCAACACCCTGTCGTGCGTGGGGCTCCTCTGCGGGGAGAGATCGGAAGGGGCGAGGGAAAGGGTAAATAGGTAACCACGGCAGAGCTGCCCCGAGGGAGAGAAAGGAATTTGAGAGGAATGAAAAGGTACCTGGGATGACAGTGTGACCACGGCGCCTGTGGTACCTGGGCTGTACCTCAAAACACAGTAGCACGAGGTGGGGAGTTGAGATGTGAAAGGTACCTGGGAAGCTTGGAGGAAGAGGCCGAAGTCTGACCCGCCAACAGGTGCCGCCACCCGCATGACCTTTAGAGAGAAGAGCTTGCCGTGCAGCCATGCTCCTCCTGGTGTGAGGAGGTGAGAGGAGAGGAGAGAGCAAAAAATGATAAGGGGAAGAGCAGTTGGTTTGGTGAGTGTGAATGCCTCCAGCCGGGGATGGATTCAATCAACAATTTGCCTAACGATCTGCTTTCCGCGATTCTCGCGCGGCCTGCTGCGAGAGTAGCGCCAGACGCAGCCAGCGGCAGCACACGAGCACGTGCAACGTCTCCCTGGCAGAGGAGCGTGCGAGAATCGCGGAAAGCACCTCGTCAGGCAAATTGTTGATTAAATCCATCCCCGGCTGGAGCGCGCCTCTTATTATCACACACTCACGCACGCACGCACGCACGCACGCACGCAAGCACGCACGCACGCACGCACGGCACGCACGCACATGCACACACGCACACACACACACACACGCACACACACACACACACACACACACACACACACACACACACACACACACACACACACACACACACACACACACACACACACACACACACACACACACACACACACACACACACACACACACACACACACACACACACACACACACACACACACACACACACACACACACACACACACACACACACACACACACACACACACACACACACACACACACACACACACACACACACACACACACACACACTCTCTATTCTTCCACTCATCTGCCAGCAGTATCGCCTGCCCCGGCTGTACCATGTAGTGCAGCAACACCTCCCTACACATGCACAGCTTTGCATGCACATACACACCACACCCTCTTCTTCCACTCACCTGCCGGCATTATCGCCTGCCCCGCCTGTAGCATGTAGCAGTCCTGCAGCAGCACCTCGCTACAGACGGACAGCTGGCGTCAGCACGCACAACATCCTAACACGTACATCAGTGACGCACACAGCGCACCTGCCAGCATTATCGCCTGCCCCGGCTGTAGCATGTAACAATCCTGCAGCAGCACCTCGCTACAGACGGACAGCTGGCGCCGGCGCTGGTACCGCCTGTGCTGCTGCTGAATCGAGTCCAGAATTAGCTGTTGCTGGCGTTCAAACGGGGAGCATTTGAACCAGAGGGCCTCTGTGACGAGCGCGTGGAGGGCGGGGGAGTCGGCTTCTGGTGTGGTGGTGATGAGAGCGTACAGTGCTGAGGTTGCCATTGCTGGAAAACGAATGCTGCCTGCCAGCCTGGGGACGGGTGAGGCGAGGGGAGAAGAGGGGACATGGGGTAAGAGGCGTGGAGAGTGGGGGTGTCGGCCTCTGGTGTGGTGGTGATGAGAGCATGCAGTGCGGATGTTGCCATTGCTGGGAAGCGAATGCTGCCTGCCAGCCTGGGGAAGGGTAGGGGGGCAAAGAGGAGGAGCAGGAGAAGAGGAAGCAGCAGGAGCAGGGAAACAGGAAAAGAGGGGGAGGAGGATGGGCGGCTGCTGCTGGTGTTCAAACGGGGAGCACTTGAACCAGAGGGCCTCTGTGATGAGGGCGTGGAGGGCGGGGGAGTCGGCTTCTGGTGTGGTGGTGATGAGAGCATGCAGGGCAGATGTTGCCATTGCTGGGAAACGAATGCTGCCTGCCAGCCTGAAGACTGGTGGGGGGAAAGGAGGAAGAGGAGGAGAAGGAGAAGCAGAAGGACTGCACGTGAGAGCATTCGCTTCCCAGCAATGGCAACATGCATTTACGCTCTACTGGCATAGCCACACCCACCCACTCACCCACCTTCCCAGCATTTCCTTGCGTCTCATAAGGTCGTCAGGCCAGTGGTGGCGCACCCAGTGCAGGCACGCTTCAAGAACCGTCTCCTCTGCCTGCACTCCCACATCGTCGCTCCCCAGCAGGGCTTGCAGGGCCTCGAGGGGCAGAGAGAGGAATTCGGGCGTCTGCCAGGTGGCGTCGAGGGAGGTGAAGTGCTGCACCAGGAAGGCTGAGGATGAAGCAAGGAGGAAGGTGGCTGCAACGGGGAAGACAAAGTAGGGAGGGAAGGAGAATTATCAATGGAAGTCGGGGGTCCGCCAGGTGGCGTCGAGGGAGGTGAAGTGCTGCACCAGGAAGGCTGAGGACGAGGCGAGGAAAAACGAGGCTGCGCAAAGGAGGTTGGGAGACAGAAGAAAAGTAAAAGGAAGGGAAGGGAAAGGAAAGGAGAGTTACCAGGGGAAGTCCGGCATCTGCCAGGTGGCATCAAGGGAGGTGAAGTGCTGCACCAGGAAGGCTGAGGACGAAGCGAGCAGGAAGGAGGGTGTGAAAGGGAAGTTGAATGAGGAGAGGGAAGGCTAGGGAGGAGTGCGATCTAAATTGATAGCACAAGATAGAGCCTTGCCGTACAATGAGGCCTTCCTGCTTGAGACCTACCTACCAACCCACCCAGCGTGCGACCAGACCACCTCGCCAGCATGCGAGGTACCCACCAGCATCAGAGAGAGCAACGTTGGAGCAGACCCGGAGGAGCGTGCAGGCGATGTCAAGAGTCAGCGGCACTTCCCTGCAGTCAAGTGAGAGGGAAATGGGCAGAGGGAGAGAGAGGATCGAGGGGAGAGAGGGCAGAGAAAGCAGAGAGAGCAGAGAGAGCAACGTTGGAGCAGAATCGGAGGAGCGTGCAGGCCGCGGCACCTCCCTGCAGAGGAGAGGAAAAGAAAGAGTGCAGGGCAGCAAGTGGCATCAAAGGCACTTCCTTGCAGTCAAGTGAGAGGGCAGAGAGAAGGGAGAGAGCAGGTACCGCAATCCGAGCACCACCTGAGCATACCTCAGAAAGGGTTACTTTCACCCCCAGTACCATTACTGTTACACTTTGTACCTGTGGTGGTGAGCGCACACGCCCACACATGACAGCACGTGCAGCACAGTGCAGCAGCAGCAGCCACGTCGCAGCAAGTACGGATCAAAGGGCGTTGCTTCCAACCCCCAATACCACTACTGTTACACATCCTACCTCAGGTGGTGCGCGCACACGTCCACGCACGACAAGACAGAGAACTTGTTGGCGAGCAGCGGCAGGTGCAGCACTGCCTCGGGATCATCGGAACCCAGCGTGTGATACAATACAACACACAGTCAGTCATTCCCATTAGTGCTATGCTAACAAATCCTACCTCAGGTGGTGCGCGCACACGTCCACACAGGATAAGACGGAGAACTTGTTAGTGAGCAGAAGCAGGTGCAGCACAGCCTCGGGATCATCGGAGCCTACTGTGTGATACATGTTACAACACACAAAGAATCACTCCCATCAGTGCTATGGTGACAAATCCTACCTCAGGTGGTGTGCGCACACATCGACGCATGACAGCACGGAGAATTTATTCGCCAGCAGCAGCAGATGCAGCACAGCCTCGGGATCATCGGAGCCCAGGCGCCCCGTGTACAGGTAGTGCAGCAGATGCATGAAGGGCTGTTGCTCTGTGGTGAAGGGGGAGAGAGGAGGAGTGGGGGAAAGAAAGTATGGGGTGAGCGGGGAAGAGAAGACGGAAGCAGCGGGTGGAGGGAGTGGGAAGTGCGGGTGCAAGACTGCACGGCGGAAAAAATCCCACCTTGAACTGAGATTCCAGGGATGCTTGAGTTGAGACCCAAACGGTACCAACTCAACGACTTACCTTCCGGTGCGAGTCGGATGGTGACTGGAGCAGGTTTTACAGACTCAGGCTCAGACGAGAAAGAAGAAGCTGAGGGCGAGGAGGAGGAGGGGGGCGCCACTGCGGTGAGAAGAGGGATTTGAAGAAGTCGGACTGAGACACGAGGATGGCTGATATCACATGCACCTGCACCTGGTCAGGGAAGAAAGAGGAATGGTCTCTTGAGAGAGAAGAACACACAAAAAGCCTTACCTTCAGGTGCGAGTCGGATGGTGACCGGTGCAGGCTTTGCACACTCAGACGAAGGGGAAGAAAGGAGGAGAGGAGGAGGAGGGGGGCGCCACTGCGGTGAGAAGAGGGATTTGAAGAAGTCGGACTGAGACACGAGGATGGCTGATATCACATGCACCTGCACCCTCCGCGTTCCAACCCCTTCATTGCTGCTGCTGCTGCTTCTGCTGCTGCTGCTGCTGCTGCTGCTGCAGCTCTTCTTGCTACTTGTGGCACCGCTGGTGGTGCTGCTGCTGCCTCTGTCTGCTGCTGATCCATCAAAGTGAAGCTGCATCTCCCCTGCTCCACACGTTCTCCCACCACCGCCTCCTGACACGCTTCTATCACTCCTAAAATCGCCTGCTACTGCTGCAGGAAAGTCCCCTTGACTGCTCACTCCAGGAGCAGCGCCAGTGCTGGCAGCGGCTGCTTGTGTTGCTGCATTCACGTCCTCAATCGTACTTGAATCTGAGCCGTCCATGCCAGCTGCAGCAGCGAGATCTGCAGACGCCATTCCGTTACTCCCCATCCGCTCTTCTTCACCCTTCAGCAATTCTTCTCCGCACTCGTGCTCGCGCTCGTGCTCGTGGTGGGGCTGTGGCGCTTTTCCCTGCTCGTGTCCCTGCTCGCGACCCTGCTCATCTCCTTCCTCCTGCTCGTCCTCGAGCTCATCGGCGGCAATCTCGAGGGAGAGGCAGCGGTCGCTGAAGGCGGGGTTGTTGAGGGCGAAGGAGAAGTCGAACGCGCGCGGATCCGGCGGGTACGACGGCCGCGGCGGCGGATGCGGGCGTTGATTCGGGGAAAGAGAGCAGCGCGGCCGCGCCTCGCCGGGACTGCCGCCGCTGCCGCCGCTGCTCGAATTCATGACGGAGAAAAACGGTGCAGAGGCTCACTAATCAAACTTAATATTGGGTCTGGAAACTTGGAGTGACAGCTCAGGAACTCTAATTCGGCGTACAAATCCTAAATAAGGGAGAGGCAGCTGACTCGCTAAGGTTCTTATAGCGGGGATATCTTCTAATTCTACAACTGCGCCTGCATGGCCGGCTGCCAGCTGTGATTGGTCCCTGGCAGCAGTGTAGCCTGGGTAAGTTGCGCTCCGCAGCGCACGGAAAGCTTAGACCTTTATTTGCAGCTGAGCGCGTTATTGCAAGAGCTGCACACAGACACACTGCCTCTGGTGTCTGTTAGAAGTTGTCCTGGTAGGACGGAGAATCAAGCACGCGACGACGCGTGCAGCAAGGTCGAAGGCATGCTGCTGGGTAACAAGTCATCACAGCGCTGGCGAGCCCTGATGATGGCCGTCACCTGCCAGAAACATCCTAGCATTCTAAGCAGTCCTTGCTGTTTACATAGAAGCTATTTTAGAATTTATTTTCATCCACCCATTTTACTTTCAGGGATCTCCCTAGGCTGGCCCCTGCTGCATGCCCGACAGGTTGGAAATGAAATCCCGTTTCGACGAAATCGCTCTTGGTAACTGAATTGTTTCACCGTGGCCCGCCCTGCACGCAACTTTCTTGCACCACGTGCCACGCCAGGAACTTCGCAAGCGGCTTGGAAATTCCCTCGAACTCTGGTAACAAAGCCCGCTCTTTCGTGAACCGCGGTCTCGTGAGAAGTACTCAATCGGAACCAGCTTGATTGGAACTTTCAATCGAGGTTCAGGTTGAGTAATCCTATAACGGGAATAAACCTGAAATTGTTGCTCTCCGCGGTTCAGACGGTTTAGTGAAAGTGAAAGACTGATTGTCGAACAGTCGCCACTCTGGAACGTATGATAACTAATTGCAGCACATACCACCGTGAATAATATTTCTCAATGTATTCTAATGCATGGACCTCAGCGCCATCCACCAATGAAGCACACCCGCTGCTCTGCTTGCTGCCCATAGGCCAGACGACACCCACCTACTCCTTAGGACAGGCATTTAGATTTCTTCGCATCAAAAGAATCTCTTTTGTTAGGACCAGGAATAATGAGCACGCCCATGCTGTGATTTATCTATCTATCCGCCCACCAACGGATTCCACTCTCCGCGGAGGATCTCCCGCGCCTTCCGCTCCTGGACCGTCAATTGCGAGTCGCGACTCTCCGCCAGGAATAGATACCGCACATAGCGTCGTCACATGCTCGGGTAACGCGAGACGAAACCCTAATTTGTCCCCGCTGAAATCCCAGGTCTCCGACGACTTTAGCAGCAGGCATGCCCGTTCCGCGAAACCGTTCCGGCGGTTTCACGCCGAAATCCGGCAATGCCTCCACGCCGTCTCTCTTCAAATCCTCCTCCGCCTCCTCGGTCCCTTCTCTCTCCGCTCGGCTCTCGTGGAATGACCTCGCTCCGGCGCTGGCGATAGCGCTGCTGCTTGTAGCGGGTATGCTGCTCGCCGTGACGTACATGCGCGCGTCGTCAATGCGGTGCAGTGCGATGCAGCTGGAGCACCACGTGAGAGCGCTCAAGGTGAGGATGCTTATAGCGGGTATAATTCTCGCCGTTACCTGCGCGTGTTATCCAATGCGACAGAGGTGAAGCTCTGCGCTTCGTTCCCCGCAGGACGTGTCAGTAACGGGAGGGTGGGCTGCGGAGGCTTTACTTCCATCAACTCTTGTTGTTTTAAGACAACAAAGCGAACCCCATGGGTTTGCTGACGGAGCTGAAGCTCTGCACCTCCCTCCCCGCAACTCCTACTTTCACCTCTCCCGATTCATCCGTTGTCATTCTCCCCTCCTCGCTTCCCATCCGCCTCCCATTCTTCCCTTCCCCCTCATACTCCCGAACCTCCCAAACAACCCTCCGTTTTCTACTCTGCCCAATTTTTCGTCAACCCTTTCCCTTTCCCCTCCCCCGCATCATCATGTGCGCTTGTGGCAGCAGGGAGGGTCGCGAGAGGGGCGGCAGAGTCTGGTGGATAGGCAGGTGAGGATTTTGGGCCGGGCAGTTGAGGATGCTGGGCTGGGCAGGTGAGGAATTTGGGCCGGACAGGTGAGGATTTTGGGCCGGGCAGGTGAGGATTTTGGGTTGGGCAGGTGAGCTCTTTGGGTAGGTCGAGGAGATCACTTTCGAGGAGATCATTCTAGAGGCGCCTCAAGGGACCGAGGAGATCTGGACCGTTTGGGAAGAAACATGTGGGAAGAGAGCAGTGGGGCATGCAAGGTGTTCCTGTGGCACGGCTGGTGCTGCTTTCGCATGAAGCCGAGCTAATTGCTCCTGTGTATCCCTAGGCCACGGGTCGCCATGTCCCTTCCATGTATCGCCATGTCTCATCCTTGCCCCATGTTGCCATGTTTCTTTCTCGTGTTGCCATGTGCAGAACGACATTGGCAAGCGAACAGCTGAAACTCTTAAAGAGGCCATTCATTTGGTTCCTGTATGTTCACGTCACCCGTCTGCATGCCATGACTCCATGTGCATGCCATGACTCCATGTGCATGCCATGACTCCATGTGCATGACGTACGTACCATACCATATGCACACCATACCATACCATGTGCCTGTCATCCCATGTTCTATCTCATGCTAATTGCCAGCCCATGCATATGCATTCCTTCCAAAATAATATTTAGGCGCCTCAAAACTGTCCTCATATACATTCCTTCCAAAAACAAATGTTGAGAGAGGCTGTTCTTTACTCAAATGAATGATGGGTTGATAGCACCTGCTCGGGTTGATAGCACCTGCTCGGGTTGATAGCACCTGCTCGGGTTGATAGCACCTGCTCGGGTTGATAGCACCTGCTCGGGTTGTTAGCACCTGCTCGGGTTGATAGCACCTGCTGCCTGCTGTAACAAGATTGCTTTCCCGCATCCCATGTCTCGCAGGGATGGCAGGCAACGGCAGCAAAGGGGAAGAAGCTGCCTTCTGCCTCCTCTGCTACAGCTGCAGCAGCTGCTGCCACCAGTGCTGCTGGGGCCTCATCTCCCCCCCCTCTCTCCCCACTGTTGCAACCCCTGTGTGTCAATCCAGGGATGGCAGGCAACGGCAGCACAGGGGAAGAAGCTGCCTTCTGCCTCCGCCGCTGCAGCTGCTGCGGCTGCCACGAGTGCTGCGGGCGGCTTTGGAGCGTTGAAGCACATGTTCAAGCAGATTGTGCTCTCACGCATTCAACCCGTGATACTGCGGCAAAAGGTGAGTTCTGGTTTGCAGTCGACTCATATTATGCTGCAGCTGCTGCTGCCTGCCACCAGTGCTAGCGGTGGTTTTGCAGCCTTCACGCAGATCGTGCTGTAGCACATTCAGCCCGTCATCGCTCGATGTGTTTCGACGTCTACTCAATACGTGCTGCAGTGCTAGCCGGTGGCTTTGCAGCGTTGATTCAGATTGTGCTGTCATAATCACTCACCCCCGTGATTATGCGGCACAAGGCAGAAGGCGAGCATTCTGCAGTTTTCAGGGACCGTGACATCGCAGTTCACTGTTTTGGGAGCAGTGCTACTGCTGGCGGCTTTGCAGCGTTGAAGCACGCGTCGTTCAAGCAGATTGATCTCTCCTCCATTCAGCCCGTAATTACCCATCAACTCAATCCAACTCAGCTCAACCCAACCCAACCGCACCGTCAGGAGCACCATCACTTGAGAGGGAGAGGGGTGACCAAGAAGGCAGCGCAGAGAGCAGGCAAGTGAGCCGCAGCCATGGGCACCAAGAGTTATCCCCCCCCTTGATCCACGTGCTGCTTCCCTCTTTCCACCCATCCCAATCCATCCCAACCCCACCCGACCCACTCCTACTGAACTGTATCCCACCATCAGGAGCACCACCACGTGAAGGGCAGATCAAGAAGGCTGGAGCAGGCAAGTGGGCTGCAGCCATGGGCACGAAAAGCTGCCCTCCCTGCCCTGACTGCTCTCTCCTCTTTCCTCTCTTCTGATTCTCTCTCTCTCTCTCTCTCTCTCTCTCTCTCTCTCTCTCTCTCTCTCTCTCCCCCCTCTCTCTCTCTCTCTCTCTCTCCTGCTTCCACCCAACCCAACCCAACCGAACTGAACCCCATCATCAGGAGCACCACCACGTGAAGGGGGTGATCAAGAGGGCAGCGCAGCGAGCAGGCAAGTGGGCCGCAGCCATGGGCACCAAGAGCTGCCCTCCCTGCCCTGACTGCTCCCTCCAGCAACAGCAACAGCAGCAGTTGCTGCTGCAGCTGCAGCAGAAGGGTGGGAAATACACGGAGCAGCAGCAGCGGCAGGAGGAGGAAGGATTGGCAGAGATTGACTTGCGGTTTCCTTCAGCCTCTTCCGACTCCTCTGGATCTGCTCTTCGCGTTGTCGGACCGCTCTGCACCGCATCGGGTTTCGTCTACTGCGGCTGCCCATACGGCGAGTCGGGAAGGGTGGAATTTTCCGGAGGGCTGCCCAGGCAGGAGCAGCAGCAGGGTGAGGGGGAGGAAGGGCAGAAGAAGCCTCTGTGTGTGGACGGCAGCTCTCCGGGAAGATGGACAGGATTCGACCAATGGGAGGCTGACAACTGTCAGTACAGGTCAGTAAATGGGTTGGCTTTTGCTTGCCCTGTTAGTGCATAATACTTTATGACTGGACTCAAAAGTTGTTCTAGGTTCCAGGCTGCCCTGTATCCTCACATCCTCCCCCTCTTCCCCTTCTCTCTTCCCAGGGACATCCCTCTCCCTTAGCTACACCAGTGTCTTTCTTCCCAATGCTGCTGCCTTGCTGTTGCTCCGCCCACTGCTGCTGAAGGAGGAAACACAAGTGGGGAAGACATGTGAAAGGAATATGAAGAGAGAAAGGAAAGGAAGAGCCGAGAAATAAGGCATCTGAAGGTAGAGGAGATGCTGAAAGGGAAGCTGACAAAGGGAAATTGGGGGCAGAGAAGGCTTGAGCGAGAAGCATTATTATTAGAGATGTCATTATCATTAGAGAGACCGTTACCAATAGAGAGGGCGTTAACATTAGAGAGGGCGTTACCATTAGAGCTAAGTGGCGAAATACGCGTATAGCGTATATACGCGTGTCGTATATACGCATGCGTTTATACGCTATACGCTAAGGTCCTGAATCCAGGAATACGCTTTTTCGGGCAGGGTAAAAAAAACCCGGGCAGGGTGAAAAAAACACCCTAGGTATAGTTCACAGGGGGGATTCACGGAGGTTGTGTCTCAGGTTCATTTTTTCCCCTATGACGCGAAATGCTTAAAGACTTCGTGCTCAACATCGGGAAGGTACTCCCTAATCTCACGAAGAGGACGTGGCCTATTGTTATCCTGTGTGAGATCAGATGGCGGGTTACGAACTGCAGTAGAAATTATCGCGTAGGATACTAGGAGTGAGCGACTAGGTGGAATGGACGGATGGGGGAGGGAACGTGAAGTAGATCTGACGAGAAACGATGTGTTGGAGGGGACGTACTGGAAAGGTTGGAGTTCGTAGATTGGGTTCGGTTCAAAGAGGTGGAACCCTGAAATTCGAGAATGCAACTCCAACCTGAATCAAAACATTGAAGTGACATTCCCGCTACCCTAGATCTCCGATGAGCATTTCGACCACCGCGAAATGATTGCCGTGAAAAACGGCAGATTTCTATACATTCCCGAAAATTTTCACCTTGGGCTGCCCAGAAAAAAACTCCCGAGCGTATAGCGTATTTGCTAGCGTATAGCGTTTTGCGTGTATACGCAAGCGGATAAACGCTATACGCTTAAAGGCAAAAGCGTATTTCGTCACTTAGCATTAGAGAGGGCGTTACCATTAGAGAGGCCGTTACCATTAGAGAGGGCGTTACCATTAGATAGGGCGTAACCATTAGAGAGGCCGTTACCATTAGAGAGGCGTTACTATTAGAGAGGCGTTACCATTAGAGAGACGGTTACCATTAGAGAGGACGTTACCATTAGAGAGGTCGCTACCATTAGAGAGGCCGTTACCATTAGAGAGGCCGTTACCATTAGAGACCGTTACCATTAGAGAGGGCGTTACCATTAGAGAGGGCGTTACCATTAGAGAGGCCGTTACCATTAGAGAGGGCGTTACCATTAGAGAGGCCATTACCATTAGAGAGGCCGTTACCATTAGAGACCGTTACCATTAGAGAGGGCGTTACCATTAGAGATGGTTACTATTAGAGAGGGCGTTACCATTAGAGCGGGCGTTACCATTAGAGAGGGCGTTACCATTAGAGAGAGCGTTACCATTAGAGAGGGCGTTACCATTAGAGAGGGCGTTACCATTAGAGATGGCGTTACCATTAGAGAGGCGGTTACCATTAGAGTGGGCGTTACCATTAGAGAGGGCGTTACCATTAGAGAGGACGTTACCATTAGAGAGGGCGTTACCATTAGAGAGGCCGTTACCATTAGAAAGGCCGTTACCATTAAAGAAGGCGTTACTTTTAGAGAGGGCGTTACCATTAGAGAGGCCGTTACCATTAGAGAGGCCGTTACCATTAGAGAGGCGTTACCATTAGAGAGGCGTTACCATTAGAGAGGCCGTTACCATTAGAGAGGGCGTTACCATTAGAGAGGCCGTTACCATTAGAAGGGCCGTTACCATTAAAGAAGGCGTTACTTTTAGAGAGGGCGTTACCATTAGAGAGGCCGTTACCATTAGAGAGGCCGTTACCATTAGAGAGGCCGTTACCATTAAAGAGGCTGTTACCATTAGAGAGGCGTTACCATTAGAGAGGCGTTACCATTAGAGAGGCCGTTACCATTAGAGAGGCCGTTACCATTAGAGAGGCGTTACCATTAGAGAGGGCGTTATCATTAGAGAGGGCGTTACCATTGGAGAGGGCGTTACCATTCGAGAGGGCGTTACCATTAGAGAGGGCGTTATCATTAGAGAGGCGTTACTATTAGAGAGAGCGTTACCATTAGAGAGGCGGTTACCATTAGAGAGGCCGTTACCATTAGAGAGGCCGTTACCATTAGAGAGGCCGTTACCATTAGAGAGGCCGTTACCATTAGAGAGGTCGTTACTATTAAAGAGGCCGTTACCATTAGAGAGGGCGTTACCATTAGAGAGGCCGTTACCATTAGAGAGGCCGTTACCATTAGAGAGGGCGTTATCATTAGAGAGGCGTTACTATTAGAGAGAGCGTTACCATTAGAGAGGCGGTTACCATTAGAGAGGCCGTTACCATTAGAGAGGCCGTTACCATTAGAGAGGCCGTTACCATTAGAGAGGGCGTTACCGTTAGAGAGGTCGTTACTATTAGAGAGGCCGTTACCATTAAAGAGGGCGTTACCATTAGAGAGGGCGTTACCATTAGAGAGGGCGTTACCATTGGAGAAGGCGTTACCATTAAAGAGAACGTTACCATTAGAGAGGCCGTTACCATTAGAGAGGCCGTTACCATTAGAGAGGGCGTTACCATTAGAGAGCGCGTTACCATTAGAGAGAGCGTTACCATTAGAGAGGGCGTTACCATTAGAGAGGGCGTTACCATTAGAGAAGCCGTTACCATTAGAGAGGTGGTGACCATTAGAGAGGCCGTTACCATTAGAGAGACGTTACCATTAGAGATGCGGTACCATTAGAGATGCGGTACCATTAGAGAGGCGGTTACCATTAGAGAGGCCGTTACCATTAGAGAGGCCGTTACCATTAGAGAAGTCGTTACCATTAGAGATGGCGTTACCATTCGAGAGGGCGTTACCATTGGAGAGGGCGTTACCATTCGAGAGGGCGTGACCATTCGAAAGGGCGTTACAATTAGAGAAGGCGTTACCATTAGAGAGGGCGTTACCATTAGAGAGAGCGTTACCATTAGAGAGGCCGTTACCATTAGAGAGGCCGTTACCATTAGAGAAGCCGTTACCATTAGAGAGGGCGTTACCAGAGGGCGTTACCATCAGGGCCTAAAATAGGTTTAGGTCCACTCTTGCAAATCAGGGTACCAGGCCCCCCGTACCCTGACCCTTAGGGTAAAATTTTCCGTACCCTGATGCCAGCAGCCTAAAACAGCCAAAAAATCCTGTTACACTGATTGTACCAGGGTAGAATTGTTGTTAGGCTGTTTGACAAACAGGAACGCCCTAAACCCGGGTGCGTTGGCGCAAATCTTGCTTAACGGACCAATCGTACGAGCGCGCGTGCAGCCGCACTGCTTCTACGTTGGCGCGCCAGTGGGCATACCGTACAAATGGTCCAGTGGGACCGTGGAGAATTTTGTCTTGGCGCGCACTGAGGCGGAATCCTCGGTTAAAAAAAGATCCGGTAAAAGTGTAGTTGGGCCCGTACCCTGATACAGCCAGTGTAACCAAAATTGTTACCAGTGTAGTTTACAACGAATCCTGATTTCACTAGGGTAAAAATTTTCATAGCCTGATTTCACAAGGGTAACTGCCAAAAAGCGGCCTACCATCAGGGCAAAAAGGGTATTTTACCCTTGAAATTTGGGCCCTGGTTACCATTAGAGGGGGCGTTACCATTAGAGAGAGCGTTATCATTAGAGAGTGCGTTACCATTAGAGAGGGCGTCACCAATAGAGAGGGCGTTACCATTAGAGAGGGCGTTACCATTAGAGAGTGCGTTACCATTAGAGAGGGCGTTACCATTAGAGAGGCCGTTACCATTAGAGAGGGCGTTACCATTAGAGAGGGCGTTACCATTAGAGAGGGCGTTACCATTAGAGAGGGCGTTACCATTAGAGAGGGCGTTACCATTAGAGAGGGCGTTACCAGAGAGAGGCGGTGACCATTAGAGAGGCGGTGACCATTAGAGAGACCGTTACCATTATAGAGGCGATTACCATTAGAGAGGCGTTACCATTAGAGATGCGGTACCATTAGAGAGGCGGTTACCATTAGAGAAGCCGTTACAATTAGAAAGGCCGTTACCATTAGAGAGGCCGTTACCATTAGAGAAGCCGTTACCATTAGAGAGGCCGTTACCATTAGAGAGGGCGTTACGATTAGAGAGGGCGTTACCATTAGAGAGAGCGTTATCATTAGAGAGTGCGTTACCATTAGAGAGGGCGTTACCAATTGAGAGGGCGTTACCATTAGAGAGGCCGTTACCATTAGAGAGGGCGTTACCATTAGAGAGGGCGTTACCATTAGAGAGGGCGTTACCATTGGAGAGGGCGTTACCATTCGAGAGGGCGTGACCATTAGAGAGGCCGTTACCATTAGAGAGGCCGTTACCATTAGAGAGGGCGTTACAATTAGAGAGGGCGTTATCATTAGAGAGGCGTTACTATTAGAGAGAGCGTTACCATTAGAGAGGCGTTTACCATTAGAGAGGCCGTTACCATTAGAGAGGCCGTTACCATTAGAGAGGCCGTTACCATTAGAGAGGGCGTTACCATTAGAGAGGTCGTTACTATTAGAGAGGCCGTTACCATTAGAGAGGGCGCTACCATTAGAGAGGGCGCTACCATTCGAGAGGGCGTCACCATTAGAGAGGGCGTCACCATTAGAGAGAGCGTTACCATTAGAGAGCCGTTACCATTAGAGAGGGCGTTACCATTAGAGAGGGCGTTACCATTAGAGAGGGCGTTACCATTAGAGAGGGCGTTCCCATCAGGGCCCAAAATAGGTTTTAGCTCACTCTTTCAAATCAGGGTGGTAGGCCCCCCGTACCCTGACTGTTCGGGTATTTTTTCTCGTACACTGATTGTAGCAGCCTAAAAGTTCTGGTACACTGATTTCAGCAGGGTAAAATTTCCCATACTCTG